ATTTTTAATGCTTTAAAATTGTTGGTGGGCTTTTGTTATTGTTGTTGCATTTTGCCGTTTGGTTGGGAGATTGCCTGTTGTGTGTATGTGGTGTGCGTTGCCAGCTTTATTTGGGGTGTGTGTGTTCTGAGCATGACCTGTTTTTCATCTGTGAATTGGGTGTTTTGTGGTGCCCACAACAGTTTCTTAGATTTGCAAAGGTGACTCCAGGCTCCAAATATCTGAGAACCCATGTTCTAGATTATGAGGGAGGCTTATTCCAAAAATATCAATCCATCTGAAGGGGTTGTCAGTAGGGCCAGATTTAGAGGCAGGTGACCCAGGGAGCTGCTTCCAGCACCAGGCTGGGAGGTGAGGGAGGCAACACTGAGCTCAAAGATATGTTTCATAGGTTAACTGTCTCAGCAACAGCCAAAACAAATGGTGTAAACAGTTCAATTTGCATGAATAAATATAGAATTTTTTGAACCTAGTCTGTACATTTTTTGTCTTATCTGATGGGGATAATTCATGCAGCAGATTGTGAAATGGTCTGCAAGTATTCAAAACTTGAAGAAATGCTCTTACTCTGTTTTGCTGTTTGGTCTATAGGTGGCCCTGGTTATTTCTGTGGTGTACACTCTTCCATTGATGATGATGATGATGATGATGATAATGATAGTTGCTACATCCCACTCTTTCCTTAGAAAACTCAAAACAGTGTCCCCTGGACACCCCCACACTCTTCATTTACCTTCATTAGTATTTCTATACGGGGAGCTTTCATTCACCAGGCCATTGGCTGAGCTACTATGAGGTCACAGAAAGCGTCAAAACACTTCACTGTTAGACAGGGGAGGCTGGTCCATTAGGGAAAATGGGGCACTGCTCCACTAGCTTCAGTCTGCTCTCAGCCAGCTTTCACCTACCTGTCTTATTCCTTACAACCAGCCTAGCAGGTGGTCAGCTTCTTCCTCCTTAGTCTCAGGATTGGCCCTTGTAGAACTCAGCAGGGAGGAGGGTGGGGACAAAACCAGGACCAATTGGCATTGTGGTAGATCTAAAATGGTGTGTGTCATATTCCAGAGCTCCTGTATGCCTGTGATGGGGCACTGATGTCAGGAAGACACCAGTAGAATGCCCTCTCACTTTGTGCAACACCCTCCCATCTGATGTCAAAGAGATAACCAATTAGATGACCTTCCATAGACATCTGAAGGCAGCCCTGTATCTGGAAGCTTTTAATGTCTGATGCACCATGTGTTCTTTTACATTCTGTTGGAAGCTGCCCAGAGTGGCTGGGCCAACCTAGTCTGATGAGTGGGGTACAAGTAAATGATGATGATGATGATGAAGATCTTGGGAGTAGTCAGCAGACAACACTTGCCTAGAGCCCACCTTGAACCCAAAACCAGCCCTAAGGCAAATGAACCACGTTAGCCTGCTGGTGTCAGTGGGTTCCCACATGCCTCTGCTCTGCAAGCGTTCCTTCTGCTAAGTAGACGCTTTCTCTTGGCACTCTGACTCAGCCTGCCTGCCAAGTGCCTTCGATTGCATGCAAATGTCAGTCCAATGTTATCCAAAAGCAGCTCCTTTTTCTGTAGCATGAAATAAAACAATTTGGCATGAACAAGTGTAAATGTTATGTCAGCCTTCGACACCATTTCATCTGGATAGAGATGTTAGCGGTGGAGTGTGACGCATGCTGACAGACATTGAATGATGCCTCCTTTTTCCAGTAGCTTGCAAACAAGAGTCTGTTGTGTTAATGCTGGAGAAAACGTTAATGTCTCCATAAGCTGGGGTGGGTCTTCCTCTTGCCCATTCATCAAGAGGAAGTGTATCATTTCCATTTTACATTGTTGTGATTTTAGATCCTTCATTAACACACTTGGATTTGGTTATCAAAGCATAAAGCCCTTTTTGTTACTCTCCCTACAAAAAACAATTTTTGACCTTGTCTTTTGTGATTAAAATATTGTTTCACTTCTCCTTACCAATTGGTAGGAAGTTTCAGGAACAGCCTATTATAGTTTACATGACTTTGCCTTTCATGCATTGAAAAAAATATGTGCGGGGCTTCACAAGGCCATGTGCCCCCTTGCCATGCTGCACACGGCTGCCATACCTGCAGCTGCCAACACCTGCTGTGGAAATGCCTTCCTGCTAACCGCGCATTTGGCTGGCCTACCGAGGTAAACATGCAAAGCTAGGATGGGAATGTCAAGCACCTGGGCCAAATGTGGCTCCCCAGGCCTCTCTTCCTGGCCCGTGGGACTCCCCCCAGGGCCCAACCCCTCACAGGTCCTGCTTTGTATCTTCCTACATACAGTTTTCTGCCTAGCTGGAAAGTCTCCTTGAACTATGATAAGCCTTCTTGCTAGCCTGGATGGAGGATAGTGAGAGATCTGTGAGTGTGAAGAAACCAGTCTATTATTATGTGGATTTTATTGCATTAGGTTCATGTGCTGTGAACTGCTCTGGGATCATTTAAATGAAGAGCAGCATAGGAACATTTTAAGTAAGATAAGCAGGAGCATAGGAAGCTGCCTCATAACTAATCAGATTGCTGTATTTCATTGAGTGTTGCTTACAGTACCTGGCAGTGGGCAGGTGGGGCTCCACCACCTGGGAAGGGAGCCCATTTAAGAGAAGGAAAACTCTGATCCTAAACCTGCGCTGTCTTGCGGGATGTATGCGGGAGAAGAAAGTAAACCCTACACAAATTTGGAGTGGCGTCCCTAAGATGGTCGGATGGCACCTTGTATGATTCCTGCAGCCAAGCTGGTGCTAAATGTATTGCTCTGCTTTCCTTTGGACCACATCAGCGAGGCAGAGAAGGAGGTCTTCTCACCTGGGCATCCCAGGACCTCCAGACACACTGCCCAGGCTTGTCACTTTGGTGCTGTAGCACAGCTGTTTGACTTCACCCCTGGAGGTACACACCATTGTCTCTTAAGAAATGGAATAACGACGACTTGTAGCAGCCCTCCTGGGTTCCAGACAAAGGGTATTCCCAGCTCTGCTGGAAGATGTTGGGGAATGCTGAGCTACAGGCCTTCTCCATAGGAATTAAGGCTGCTGCCTTGTACTGAACAAGAACATCAGCCCATTTAGCTCAGTATGGTCTACACTGGCAGGAGCTCTCCACGGTTTCAGACTGGTGCATTCTGAACCCTTTTGGAAATGCTGGGGATTCAGCTTGGGACTTTCTGCATGCAAAGCATATGCTCTACCACTGAGTTATGGCCCTTCCCAAATGTGCCCCATCACCTGTGAAAAGTGGCAAGTGCTGATGTAAAGCAATAAAGAGTTGACATTCCATCTTTTCTGTGTTGTCAATGTGCCACTGAAAGCATCAAAAGCCATTGAGGACTTTTGTATGCTTTTCATGCTTGAGGGAGCTGGACTTGGTGATTTGGCAGATGACATACGTAGTTATTGGGGAGAGGCTGTAGGTCACTGGCAGAGCACATGCTCTGTGTGCTTAATATAGGAAGCTGCTTCTAGCTCAGTAGTATCTGCCTTGATGGTAGTTCCTCAGGGTCTCAGGCAGGGGACTGTCCCACTCTGATCTGGAGATGAACCTGGGACCTTCCGCATGCAAAGCAATTGCTCTACCACTGAGCTACAGCACCAGGTGAAATCCTTGCCAGCTGCAGCAAGGGCTGGGAAGTATTCCTGTCTGGAACCACAGAGTCACCACCTGTCCTCCATCCCAATAGATTTATGTCCTAATAGCCTGATCTTGTGTGTAAAAGAGCGTCTTGTTTGGTGAAAGGCAGAGACTGGAAATCAATCTCTGGCTCTGCATTCACCATCACCTTCTCCAAAGTGGATGAGCAGCAGGCTGGGCTTCGAAACATTGTTCTAACTGTTTGGCGATGACCTTCTGCTCTTCGTGCTGGTGAAGAGCGGGGGCTGCATCATCCAGAATATATAGGCTCTAATAGCAAGATAAAAGAGCTGGGAAAAGGTTTCCTGCAGATAGGATAAGCTACATTCTGAACGGTTAGAAAACAAGCAATTGTTATTTTTTATAGGCCCTGTTCACACAAAGCGTCTTCTTTACTCTTAGTACTGGACCTGCTCCAAGCACGAGGCCATCCCAAGCCTGTATTGCAGTCAGCCTCAATGACTGTGGAGTATCACAAGAAGTGCTGCCAGCAGGACTGGTGTCAGCAGTCGGCCAAGTTGGGCACTGACTGAGGGACCCTCAGAAGAGACCCCCACTGACCTGTGCCAGCTCTGCTGCTGCCGCTGCTGCCTTGGCCCAGACAGATGTTTTAGCAGAGGCTGGGTAGCTGTGTCGCTTTTGAAGGGGACCCAGTCTTGTGTGTGCTGTGGGAGGGGGTCACTGGCAGCACTGTGCTGTGGGCCCCCACATGGTTTGGTGCCCTGCCAATGATTTCACAGTGAATGACAGATCGTAAGAACTGCAGTAGTACCCAGCCAAATGGCTTTTTGATGCTAACAAGCAGAACACAAAAATGCCCATCGGTGGTGCAGTGAAGCAATTTTATACTGTCTAATAATGCCCCCTTGCCTTTAGATCAGATGTGGGGAATGTGTTGCTAGCCAGATGTTGGTGGACTACAACTCCCATAATCTCTGGCCATGAGCAATGCTGGCTGGGGCTGGTGGGAGCTGGAGTCCAAGAATGTTGGGAACATCCTGTGTCTCCAACAAAAGAGCAAGCCTTAAACCGGGGGGGGGGGGGAGAGCAACCTCTACTTTGGCCTCCCAGGCAACTTTCTCCAAACCACACCCACCAAAATTGACAGATCCTTCCATCCCTGGTCTAGAGAAGCTTTCAAGGAACCTCAATGTTTCTCAGGAAAAAAAATCTGAAAGTCCCTGGTTTCCCTGATGATTGGATATACATTTTAACTGGTGAGGCTGGGATTTAAGGGCACACATCTGTCTCCCTCTCCCGCTCCATCTCTCCGTATTTCTTGAGGTGATTTTGGTTCTGTTGCATGACTGCAATGAGAAATTAAACAGAAAATACTCAAGATAGCTTTTCCTTCCAGCAAACAGCAATATTTATTCAATCATAACTTATCTCACTCTTCCTTCAATATCTCACAAAGGCACTTCTGTTGAGATTTTAGCAGTATGCACACTAATTTACAATTGATTGGTTAAAATGCAAGGCAGAGGACTAAGCAGCTAAGAAACTTGACTCAACCAGCAGCCCTAGAAGAAACATTTGTGTAACAAATGGGTTAGTATGCATACAGTCTAAATGTCCCTCCCACAACATATCAGCTTTCTGATATCAAACAAGCTTCTTAGGGTTTTACAACACAGTTAACATATGCATGCCTAGTCAGAAGTTAGTCCCACTGAACTCAGAGAGACCTGCTGAACTTGACAGGGCTTACTTCCAAGTGTCCCACCTATAGGATTGCACACTTAGTGAATGTTCGTCAGACATGGGAATGATTCTTGTGCTCATAAGCGGCACATCTAACTGTGTGAAAGGCTAACACACAGCTCTGACACTTGCTGATATACTTGTGAAATCCAGAACGCCAAAGTAGGTTTTAACATATAAATTGTTCAGTCAGACTTCTTGCTGATATGCATAACATCATTTTGTGTGGCTGTCAACAAAAGAGTCAATTCCAACAATAGTAGAAAAGTAAAAATTGCCTTTATCTGGGAAGCTTATACAGCTTATTGTCACAATTTATTGTTCTTTGGAGAAAGGAACAGAAGGAATAAAACAAACAACTTCTTTGAGGTGACTCTAGCATGGATTAGTGCCAGCATCTCTTGATTAAGGCAGATTAAGGTTAATTCTAAACAAACACACTTATTTGGAATAGGTCTCATGGAACACAGTGTGGAAAAGGATTGGCTTTTGGCTGAAGATGTATAGGATTGCTCTGAAAAGCAAAACTTATCTGAAGCCTAACTGAACTCACTTGGACTTCTGAGTAGGGATACAGAAGATTGACTCATTAGCCTGGAAACATATACACATGAGTAAACTTCACTTAATAAAACAGGACCTACTTCCAAGTAAATGTGCAAACAACTGGATTATAAACTATGCTAAAGGAAGCAACTAAGCATATTATTTGCTTACAGGCTGGATTTGGTCTTTTTATGGTGCATAAATTGTGTGATTTTGAGCAACCTGCCTTTTTATAAGTGACTAACACTGATTCCGATTGCACCACTTCAAACGGAAGGTAGCAGCTCCTGAAGGCTGGCAGGGGGAAGCTTCCCTCAAATATGCTTGATTTTAGTGAGAAGAGAAATTATGTGTGGAAGAGGACTGCATCACAGAAGAGGTCACAGGAAGCTGTGTCTTCTGCATAAGACAAACAAACCTACAATAAAATAAAATAAAATAAAATAAAGGTGCAGGCCTTGCTTCAGTGCTCTGTCAGGTACCCCAGAAAGTAGACGTAAAGAACAAAAACAGTTTACTCATCACAGAGCTATAATTCACAGCACCCTTAACAAACTACAGTTCCCAGCATTCTTGGATTGGGTGGGGGGGACTCATGTACTTTAAATGTATGGTGTATATATAGCCTGAAGTCTGCTCTGTCCCATTTCTGGGCAGGTTTTAAATGTGAAATCCACGCACAAGCACAATAAAAAGTACTTGTGAGGCAGTCTAATGGCTACAGGCTGTGTTTGCTCCTCTAACTGTTTTCCTTCTTAAACTTCTAAAAGTTCAGCTGTCCACAGCTTAGCATGGCTGGTGTGCAAGGCTCATTGCTACCACAGGCTTTGAATGCACTTTCCACAAGTCCCCAAGGAGCAAGAGGACTTGATGTTTTGATGCTCTCATGCCCTCCAAGATCTCTCCCATGAAACGAGGGACATCCTATTCCACGCCAGGAAGTTTCCTCTACGTTTGATCTTGCCAAACACATAGATGTCATATACACATCTGCATCAGTCACCTTGAGCCAATTACAGCCTCTCCACCAAACCTACCTCACAGGATTGTTGTAAAGAAAAAATGTGTGAGGGAAGGGATCATGTACAACACCTTCCACATATAAATAGAATGAAATAAAATTCTAGCTGTAAACTGCCTTGAGTCCCTGTCAGGGGAAAAGGTGGGATATAGTAATTGTCAGAAATAATAATAAATAATGATGATGATGATGATGATGATGATGATGAAAACTGTGAGAATGATCAGGAACATACCAGGGAGTAAGCTCCACTGATTATAGTGGGACTTACTTCTGTGTTGACAGTATAAGGTTCCATTTACAATAAAGGAATCAACACTCCATGTGTTTCCTTAAAAATGGCTGGCTGCTAAAGCATTGCAATTAAATAATTGAAAATGGACTGGCGACCTTTCCTTCAAAATTATAGGAAGAGCTTCATATGCCAGATTCACTGCTTCCTGCATTTGGTGCAGGTATTTTATTTTCAGTAGAAACAGGTCTCTGTTTTTGCACCTACAAACATGCACACACTTTTAATTATTCTCCAAGACGTGGAGGGGAGGAAAAAGGAAAATCAGAAACTGGGACAGCTTCTGTAATTCCAGGACTGTCCCTGGAAAACCGGCACACTTGCAGGGTATGTGCTCTCAGAAGGAATTGTACATAACCTCAAACATTTCTCATGAAAATAGGGACACCCTATTCCATAATAATAATAATAATAATAATTTTATTATTTATATCCCGCCCATCTGACTGGGTTGCCCCAGCCACTCCGGGTGGCTTCCAACATATATAAAAGCATGACAAAACATTAAACATTAAAAAAAAATCCCACCCAGGGCTGCCTTCAGATGTCTCCTAAAGGTTATGAAAGATGGGGAGCTGTGCGCTGCACTATTCAGAGCTGGCGACTTCAGAAACATCTGCACCACCATCGCAGCCACATAACTCAAGCACAATGGAGGTAGAAGAAACCACCCCCAAAAGCTGTATTTGAAGGCTGGGAAACAGAGAGCCTTCCATCTCCACCTAACAGATTTTTTCCTTGAGGGAAGCTCACTCTCTCTTGCCTCTGTTTAAGCACAGGGTTTTCCTGATGTCTTAGCCAAAGCACAGACACCCTTCCATGGAAATAAAATTGAATACATGCTCCATCTCATATCCCAGAAGAGATTTGCTTTCTGGGAAAGAAAAAGCAAAAAGTTAAATCTCTGCTCAGCAGCAGAGTGCAGGAAGCCCCAGGTAAGAAAAGATTCCTCTCTAGAGAGCTACTGCTAGTCAGTGTAATACTGAACGAGGTGGACCAGTGGTCTGATTCTGTATAAGGCAGCTTTCCATAGTCTTGCATAATTGCTCTGGGCATACATTTTACATAAAAACAAAGCAAAGCCACAGCAGTAATTCACCCAGAAACACAAAAGGCAGTGTGAAGGTGCTGTACCTCTGCACTGAAAGAAATGCATGGAACTTGATAGGAGTTCTCTGTTGTGATGGGAAACTGCTCATCATACAGTGACACAACAAAGAAACACAGGGAGTTGGGTTTGACCAAGTCAGACTATTTGGCCCTCTTGCCCATTGTTGTCTACCATGGCTGCCAGCATCTCTTCATAGCAAGAGAAGTCAATGTGGTACCCACCAAACGTGGTTAAATAGCACATTATGTGATCCCCAACCCTTGGCCATGTTGGTTAGGGGACTGGTGGGCAACTGGAGTCCAACAATATTTAGAGGTCACCACACTGACTGACACTGTTCCAGAGTCTCAGGCAAAGGTCCTTCTCCATCCATCATCTGCAGCCTCAAATGATGGGTCATAGGAAGCCGCCTTATACCAAGTCAGACTATTGGAATCTCTCTCCCAGCCCTACCTGGCAATGCTGGGCTTGAACTCAAGACCTTCCTCATGAAAAGCAACTGCTCTACCCCTGAGCTTTATCCCTTCCCAGGAGTGCTTGGACAGTCAGCCTGGATCCCTCCAGATGGGCTGGACTCTCATCAGCTTCAGCCAGCATGGCAAATAGTCAGAGATGGGGGGAGCTGGAGTCTGACAACATCTGGATGGCATCAGCTTGGCTCTCTGCACCACTGGATCACAGCCTGACTTAAGGCAGACCACAAAAGCAGCCCGGCCACCATACAAATCTATAATTTAAAGAATATTAATAATTAAGAAGTGGGTCCCCAAATCCATGTTTGGGGGCAAGGGGTGTGTGTGTCAGGCCAGAAAAGGTTCAAGACTGCTGTACTGCCCGATCTTTCTCACTAGAGATGCCAGGGATTGGGGGCTGGGGGCTTTCTGCACAAAAAACATGTGCTGTCCTGATGAGCGCTGGTCTTTCCCTGAAGCAGGCAGCCTCTTCTAGGGATGAACACTTCTGGAGTTTCCATCATTCAGTGCACTTCTCACAATATAGTAGTATCTCTCTCCCTACACGTGAAACGTGCTGCACATTATATGCAGGTTGTGAATTACTTTGCAGACTGACTTTCGAGGAAAGATGTGATCCCTTGCAGGAATGGAGGCATATTTTATAATATTTATTTTGTATGTCACCCAGATTGCACCATGGGAAGCAAACACCATAGCTGTAGCTCAAGAGCACCATGTGAGCTCCCTGGATGTCCCAAGATAGAGGAGAAAAAAATAAAACAGGAGGAAGCCAATTCTCTCTGGCAAAGTCTGACTTGCAATCTATCCCACTGTAGCAAAGTCAGTGGCTGGGTGGTGGCTGAAGAGTGTTTTTAGACCCTGTGGCAAGTAGATCACTCAGTATATTAGTTACCACAAGACTGGACTCCAGCCATTCAGGTAGTAGACATATGGATTATACTGGTAGCTGTGGTACACAGAAAGGGCCAGAGTAGCCCTGGAGAAGTCACGTTCTTTGAAGGCTGGAATTGCCGAGTTCTTATCAAGTCCACCAAATTCTGAGGCCAGCTGCTTCCTCTTGGTCTTATATCTTCTGTTCTGGAACCAGATTTTCACTTGGGTTTCGGTGAGTTTCAGGTGCTTGGCTAGGTGGGCTCGCTCAGGTGCAGACAGGTACTTCTGGTGATTGAACTTCTTCTCAAGCTCTATGACCTGCATATGGGAGAAGGCAGCCCGGGAACGCTTCTGCTGCTTTGGGAGTCTCGGTAAGGATTTGGGGGTGTTCTCAGAATGAGAGAGGAAGGCCTCTGCAGACTGATCTAGTAGAGAAGCAGAAAGGGGAAAGTTATGACCTATTTAAACAATACCAAAAATTTGGGATGGAGGTGAGGGAAGGAAGGAAGGAAGGAAGGAAGGAAGGAAGGAAGGACACACACACACACACACACACACACACACACACACACACAACCTACAACCAAATGGCATATTTAGGCCACCTTGATCTCTCCAGCAAATCCTGCACTGTAAACCACACAATCACTCTGCACATGGGATGTGTGTATGACAACACAGCATTTTGTGTACTTCTTTGATCTTTGCATTTTGCTTATAAGGCCCCCTCTGAACCATGCATGTAAAAATGGCAATATACCATATTAAGCAATCATGGATTCCACTCCCACACAAAGAATCCTGGGAACTGTAGTTTATCAAGGCTGCTGAAAGTTGTTCAGAGACCCCTGTTCCCCTGCAAAGGTGCATTCCCAGAGTGGTTTAACAAGCAATCCCTCTTCCCAATTTTGGAAGTGGTTGCTCAGCTCCCAAACACCTCTCTGCACCCTTAACAAACTACAATTCCCAGGATTCTTTAGGGAAATCTGTGATTATTTAAATACTGCTTTAGATGTAAGGTGCAAATGGGGCAGTGGGGTGTTGTGGTTAAGTGCGTTGGACTTAGTTGGAGAGATCAAATCCCCCCTCAACCACAAAGCTCACCCTGAGGGACTGTGAGCTGGTCTCAGCTTATTCTGCCTTTCACATGGCAGACTCAGGCAGCAAAGGGACAGGACAGACCGCACCATCTCAGAATGCAACCGGGGCAACGAAAACATTTCTTTAATAGCCCCCATATATAAACCTTCCTGCAAGAGGAAATCTAGCACGGCAGACAGAGGGCCACACTACAGGAACCATGCTGGTTTTCCTCCTGCAGGAACCTCCTTTTTAAAATAGGGACAAGAGTTTACAAAACTGACAAAGCAATTCCCCAGCACGCACTTGCTCCCCCACTTCGGGACAGACGGGCGTCAAGGCAGCCGCTGCCCGATCCGTGAGCTGAAGGTCCTGCAGCCTGCGGGCCACCCGTCGGCTTCTCCCCTTTCGCCGGGGCGCGGAGCAGCAAAACTTGCCACTTCCCCCGCGCCCAACCCCCCTGCCAGGCGGGCCAGGCTAAGCGGCTGCTCCGAGAACTTCCAAGCCCCGCGCGGGGAACTGAGCAAGGTCCGGGACCGACCCTCCGCCCCGCGGCTCCCGCCCCGGCTTCCTCCCGTTACCTGTCGCGTCCGCCGCGCCGGGCTTCTCGGGGGCTTGGCTGGCCCCGGGCCGATCCCTCCGCGCCGGCGGACGCGCCTCCCGGCCGGGCTCCGAGGCGGGCGCGCCGCCGGGGCGCAGGATGTCTCGAATGAGGAAAGAGGTCAGCTGCTTGGGGCGGGCAGCGCCGCCGCCTCCGCCGCCCGGGCGCGCCTGGGGGGCCTGCATGACCCACGTGCCGGAGAGGGCGCGGCCCAAGTTGTGCTCCCGACGCCTCCGGAGGGCCATTTATAGCGGGTGGCGGAGGGCAGGCGGGCCCGGCGCTCCTCCCCGCTGCCTTGGAGCCTCTTCCCCCATCCTCCTCCTCCTCCTCCACCCGGCTGCGATCCTGAGGCAGCGCGCACTGAACTAGGGGCGTGCTGCGCTCTTGCGACTTCTCAGCGGGGATTTGGCCGAGGGAAGTCCGTGGGTCGCCCTTCTCCCTCTGGGGTCAAATTTTGCGGAGGGAGGATCGTCACCTAAGGCTCGACACCTAGCGCTCTGCGCGCTTATGCTGAAGTAAGCGCTTCTGAATTTGGTGGGACTTTCTCCCATGTGATCAAAATGCCAGCCCGACCCCCAATTTAAGCCGGATTTAACCCCAGAGGTGGAGCTATATGTGCACTAGCGGGGCAGGGCGAGTGTCACGGGGGCGGCACAGCGATGTCACCCCCCCCCCAGGGATGACACCCAGGGTGGACTGCACCCACTGCACCCCACTTCCTCCGCCAGTGTAGGGAACCCCCAAGGAACACTGACGGGAGGTCAGAGGGAGAAGATTGAGAGGAGGATCTGGATGCTGAAGGGGCAACAAAGTTTTGGGAGCAGGAAGAACCTGTGAAAGGGAGCAGTTCAGACTCCAAGGCTGAAGCAGAGGAGGAGCGAACAAGAGACTGCTGAGGAATCCAGGGAGTCTCCCTCTCCTGCTGCAACAAGCTCCCCTCCAGCCTTGCCTCCAAGAACACACAGAATAGTGAGGAGAGTGGAACAGAGGCCAAAGATGCTCAGATGCTGTTTGAGGCTGCTGGGGAGAGCAGGAGCCCTAGAAGGCAGAGACCACCAGTCCTGACAACTGCTGCACAGGGGCAAGACCTACTGGGAACTGTTGCTGAGCTGTATGTTCATTTCCTTGAATAAAAAGTTGACTGAGCACTGAAAACTGCCTTTGCTTCTTCATGCTGACCTGCATCTGACTCCAGCCCTGACAGCCTGGCCCTTTGCCCCCCCCCCATCCTAACTCTGCTTAGAAGGAAGTCCCAGTGACCTGACTAATGTGCTTTGGGGTCACAGCTATAACACAGTGGTGGAGTTCGTGTGCTGTATGTAGGAGGTCACATATTAGGTCCCTGGCATTTCCAGATAAGGCTGCTGGGGAAAATCCTTAGAGAGACACTGTCTGTCATTGATACAAAGCCAGATGGGAGCACTGGCCTAATTCAGTTATAAGACAGCTTCCCTTGCTCCTATGCGTGGGGTTGCAGCCATGAAGCTCACTTCCATAGATGAATTTGGTGGGGCTTCCTCCCCAGGAAGAATACACAAGATGGCAGCTTTAGGCTTGCAGTCTAGGAGTAACCACAATGGCATCATTCATGTTGTTGTTGTTTAGTCGTGTCCGACTCTCCGTGACCCCCTGGACCAGAGCACGCCAGGCACTTCTGTCTTCCACTGCCTCCCGCAGTTTGGTCAAACTCATGCTGGTACCTTCGAGAACACTGTCCAATCATTTCGTCCTCTTTCGTCCCCTTCTCCTTGTGCCCTTCATCTTTCCCAACATCAGGGTCTTTTCCAGGGAGTCTTCTCTTCTCATGAGGTGGCCAAAGTATTGGAGCCTCAGCTTCACGATCTGTCCTTCCAGTGAGCACTCAGGGCTGATTTTCTTCAGAATGGATAGGTTTGATCTTCTTGCAGTCCATGGGACTCTCAAGAGTCTCCTCCATCACCATAATTCAAAAGCATCAATTCTTCGGCGATCAGCCTTCTTTATGGCCCAGCTCTCACTTCCATACATCACTACTGGGAAAACCATAGCTTTAACTATACGGACCTTTGTTGGCAAGGTGATGTCACTGCTTTTTAAGATTCTCTTTTTAAGATTCTCTGCTTTTTAAGATTTTTATGATTCTATCATTCATAGAATCATAGAATTGCACAGTTGGAAGGGACCCCGAGGGTCATCTAGTCCAACCGCCTGCGATGCAGGAATCTCAACTAAAACATCCATGACAGGTGACCATCCAACCTCTGCTTCAAAACCTCCAAGGAAGGAGAGTCCACCACCCTTCGAGCGAGTCTGTTCCAATGCCTAACAGCAAAATAACACTGTATTCCAAATCTTAGCAGTCTCTCAGAGTGCACTGTCAGAGTGAACCAGATGGACCCCTAATGAAACATTTTTCCCAGTGTGAAATTATCTATCATGACACTGACATTTTCCTGCCGGGTATGAAAAGAATAACTACTGAATAGTCATGCAAACAAGCTATTATCTCAAGCAAAACTTTCATTGCAGTCACATTATATGTAGTTAGGATATCAAGCTAGACAAGTCAAGTGTGGTTTTATTTTGAACACTACCAGTCAGCCCCCATTTTCAAATAAGCTGCTAAAATGTTAAAGGAAAATACCAGTTTACCATCTTCTAACAGATCAGCCTTCTACTCTCTCTCAGTGGCAATGTTTTCCTTGCCCAATGCAAGAAAGAAGTGCACCAAGCAAGGCAGATTCCTTTAAAAATGAATTCTGATTAGGAGAGTTTTGAATCTACTGGCAATGGCAAATGGATGAATGACGTCATGCATTACACAACTGTGGTGAGTAGCAGGATAAAACCATATCCAAAGCAATTTCACATGGTCTCTCACCTCTAACTGTCTCTCATCCACCAACCAGTATTATATTTCAACAAAGCAATTTTCAAGGGAAAGACAGCCAGTATGCTAAAAACAAGAGCAATGATTTAAAATTACCCCCCACTTTCTTTCTTTTTAAGCCATTTTTTTTTTAAAAAAGCACCCAGTCTTCATTCATTCTATCATAGAATGTTGTGTAGACACAGCATAAGTACAAGGAGTGAGAAGCAACTGCTGTCCTTTCCAGCTGTGCCCCAGATTGCAGCCCATCCATATAATTCATTGGGGGCCAGCCCCTCTTCCCACAGTCTTTCCCATATTTTCCTGTACAGGTCATGTTCCTGTAGTTTGTAATCCATGAGATCTGAGTGGATTACAACTTCAATTCCCTTGTATTTCCAGAATGTATTAATTTGGAAAGAAAATACTCATTTCCCATCAAAGCCCTGAAGTGACCCCATGTAAAAAATAAAGACATTTGCACCCACTGTATTAATGCTGCAAGGGACTTTTTTATGTGTGGTTATGACCTCCTGGTGGCGGAAGGAGCGAGCCGCATTCCGGTGAGTGAGCCTGTCCTTGGCTGTGATGCTGGCTTTAGCCCTCTCACTGGTCGGAGCTGAAGGAGCTCATGGGCAGAGGGATTAGGAGAGGGAGGCTGGGAAGATGAAACAGGTGTGAAAAGGCAACTGAAACCAGTTTAGGTTAGATTACTTTTCAAAACCATTGGGAATTTTTTTTAGAGTAAATGAAGGGATTTCACTCTGCTGAAATTCATCGTTTACAACTTTAAAAAGGGACACAGGTAATTTTCATCTGTGATCTCTGCTGTGGTTGATTTCAAATACTGCACGAATATATCTTAGTCAGGTATTTGTCCCTAAAAAGTGTTAGGAGAGGCATTAATTTTTAAATTAGAAGGAAGCTGAAGAAAAATAGAAGATCAAAAAAGACTTAATCCTAATAACACAGGAACAGTAAATTGTAGACTGATGATGGACTTTGAGAAAGTCCCCCCAAAAGAGTTTAGCCATGCAAAATTTAAACTGAAAACTGAAAAAAATACCAAGATGGAGATTTTAAAGAGAACCAGGAAAATTAAAAATACTGGACTGGTAAAGCCAAGAGAAAATAAAGATAAATGAAGGTATGTGAAGGGGGGAATCAAGTTTTATTTACCTTTCAAAATAATGAGTATTTGGATGAAAAGAAGGAGCACATGAAAGGGTACACGGATATGAAGTCTGCTTAAAGCAGTGGGAGAATGAGTAGGGAAAATGGAAGGATTTTCTTTTAAAAGCCAACTAGACGTTTTTGGTTGCTGAAGCTAGAAATGTGCATGTGGAGAAAAAAAAGAGCAAAGAAGACAGGGAGAGGATAAAACCATTCCTTCTGATTTCATGTTTGCTCAGGTTGCCTGGGGAGAAGAGAAAGACAGGTAAGTTAAAAACTTGCTGAAAAGGCAAATAAAGCATTTTGAGGATGAACCTGGTGATGGCGACTGGAGAGTGACTGCTCAGGGACACGGCAAGTCCAGGATCCTGTGGGAAAGTGCTTTCTCTGAGGGAATTCCTGAGAGTGGCTAGAGTGGTGGATTAGGACCTGGGAGTCTAGAGTTCAAATCCTCCCTCTGCCATGAAGCAGCTCTCTATCTCTCAGCCTAACCTACCTCACAGGGTTCTTGTGAGGATCAAATGAGGAAGCAGACGAGAACATCAACTCCACTAAGCCTTTCCAGCAGAACTTGCAAGATTACAAAAAGATACGGGAAATGGAGCTCAAATGGTAACTATGGAACAGGCCAGGCAAAATTACCCCTGATGTGTAATATGATTATCTAGTGGTAATAACCAAGGATTTTGGATTTTATTTTATTTTCGCTAAGCATCTTCTATCAATAGCTATTTAGCTCATTGCTGAGACAACACAAAGCGTTGACTCTATACAAAAAACTTGGACCTCTAGCACTGAAGGTAATATATTTAAAATACCAATTTTAAAACCAGATCTAGCAGTCAGCTTCCTTTGCCAGTAACTTCCCATCTGGAAACTAGCGCTGCAGTTGAAGGAAGGTAACTTTTAAATACTCTTGATTTGTCAGAAGTGGTGACAGGTGCAAATACCTAACAAGTAAACTTGAAACACTACATCATAATTAAAGTAACAATGCAGTTGCATGTATTCCGACTGAAGGGCTTCTAGGTGAGTATCTCGTGCTTGGCTGGAGAGAAAATCTCTTTTCCACCTGCAATTCTTGTGCTAAGACACTTTAAATTCTTAACGTTTTATTTACCTTACAAACTAATTAGTCTTTGGATGAAGACTACTCAGTGATCTTTTTCAATGCAATGCTTTTGTACCAGTCTCTCCTTTCTGTATATTCCCATCTTAAAATGGAGCCTTAAACTCTGGAATATGTCTCCAGTGTGTCTTGCAAGTGGAGGATTCCAGTGGAGGGAGAACGAATTCTTGAGAAGCATTGTAGTGAGTAGAGCTGTACTGAAATGACTGGCCTTTCCAGCAGCAATGACAAGATTACATAATCAATGGGAAACGGACGTCAAAAGATACAACTGGGCAGGCAAAACTATCACCAATAGGTAACGTGGCTGTGGTAGTAATAACTCTAAAATAACGGCCTATGATCTCACTGACAAATGCGTTAAGGGGGTGGATTATGCTGTATCCCTCACCGCTCCATGTGCATCCCTCCCGAAGTGGCGCACTCGGTGGAAGAGGACGACCATCCCAGATTGGAGGAGTGTACTGTTCTTCGGTCAAGGGTATACGAGAGCTGTGCTCCCCTGCTATTGTGTTCCGTCTACAATTGTTTGTGCTAAGACTCTTTCAGGTTGCGGTGACTGAGTCGTCAGAAGAGGCCCTATTCCGTGTCACCACAATGAGATTCACCTGCAGATAAGAGAGCACTTCTTCTTTTGTTCCAGCTCTTCTTTCCTTCAGGCTTCCCAGAGTTCACTGTACCTGAAGTGAGAGTCACCTGCATTTGGACTGTGCTGCTTTAGGTAAGTTCACATTCCCCCACTTAGTGTTTATTTTTTCAAGACAATGTTTTTTGTATGGGTCTCTCCTTTTTTCCATTTTCTTTTCTGATGGTTTCTTCACAGGTCACTCCAAAGAACTCCCAACGCTCAAATGAAGCCAGCTCTTCCAGCAGAGTCCCAGAAGTCATGGTGGTAAGAAAAGCTGTTTTGTCTTTTTTAAAAAAACTTATTTTCTGCAGGATTGGTGGAAGGTGGCCGGGGACAAACTAGTGATTCTAGATTGTAAGCCAACAGAAGGAGCTGCCAAGTCACACCTCAAATGGTCAAACGAAAGGGTGAGCATTAAGCTTCCCCCTTTCCACACCAAGCTTAATGACAGAGATTTAAGTCTGAATCGCAACTCTCTGTTCTGCCCCTCTAGATTAATGGCTTATCTAGCTTCAATCAAAAATGGCAGTCAAAATGGTATTCCAGAATTGAAGGACATTTAGGTGAGTATCCCTTGCTTGGCTAGGGAGAAAATCTCTGTTGTGTTCTACAATTCTTTGTGCTAAGACTCCTTCAGGTTGCGATTACTGAGTCGTCAGAAGAGGCCCTATTCCGTGTCACCACAATGAGACTCACCTGCAGGTAGGAGAACACTTCTTCTTTTGTTCCAGCCCTTCTTTCCTTTTGTTCCAGCTCCTCCTTTCTTCAGGCTTCCCAGAGCTCACTGTACCTGAAGCAAATCTGTTCAGTTGATGAGAAAGACGCAGTGTGAGTAAGAGCTCTTGATACTTCAAGAAAAACCCTGCAGTGAGAGTCACCAGCATTAGGACAGTGCTGCTTTAGTCAAAATGGTATTCCATGATTGACATACATTTAGGTGAGTATCCCTTGCTTGGCTAGGGAGGAAATCTGTATTGTGTTCTGTATGAAACTCTTTGTGCTATGGCTCTTTCAGGTTGCAGTGACTGAGTCGTCAGAAGTGGAAGCCTTTTGCAGCAGATTTCTTCGTAACTCTTAAGTTTGTTTTTTCCCTGAGAGAACATTCTATTTTGTATGACTCAGTAGGGTAGCAATTATTTTTAAATGTGCATATGTATACAGCATTTGCAAATTAGTCTCTTTTCTGTTTTTAAAGCCATGTGTCAGTGGTCACTATAAGCAAAGAGGCCAATTTCTGCAATTTGGACATTGAGGGGAGGTCAGAAGGAGAAGATTGAGAGGAGGATCTGGATGCTGAAGGGGCAACAAAGTTTCGGGACCAGGAAGAACCTGTGAAAGGGAGCAGTTCAGACTCCAAGGCTGAAGCAGAGAAGGGGCGACAAGAGACTGCTGAGGAATCCAGGGAGTCTCCCTCTCCTGCTGTAACAAGCTCCCCTCCAGCCTTGTCTCCAAGAACACACAGAATAGTGAGGAGAGTGGAACAGAGGCCAAAGATGCTCAGATGCTGTTTGAGGCTGCTGGGGAGAGGAGGAGCCCTAGAACAGTGTTTTTCAACCACTGTTCTGCGGCATACTAGTGTGCCGCGAGATGTTGCCTGGTGTGCCGTGGGAAAAATTGAAAAATTTGAAAGATTAAAAAAAAAAATTCAAATTTTCGCCCACTAGGCGGGCGCCGGACTGTGTCCTGGGTATGGGGGGGGGGGTTGACCCCACCCACGGCCAGCAGGTGCGCCGATTGGCGCTCCTCAGGGGGACACCCTCCACTTTTCTGATGTCTGGGCTGTGATTGGTCCAGACTCCAGCCTGGACCTATCACAGTAGGACATCATCTTCCGACTTCCTTCCCGCCCGAGTACAGTGTGCACAGCAGCGGAGAGAAGAAGACGTGGCGACTCAAGTCACCAGGAGGACCGGAGAAGTTGTCATTTTATTTCTCTTCAGTCTCCACTGAATGCCTTGACTGGGTTAGGGACCCTTATAGCTCAGCATCAGTTGGTGGAAAGGACATGACTTTACAGGAGCAGGAGGAACTAACTGAACTGAGACAAAACCGTGGTTTCAAGCTAAGATTTGCTGATCTACCTTTGGACAGTTTTTGGTTGGATACTGCCAAGGAGTTCCCCCTTCTGGCAAACAAAGCTATTTTGACATTGCTCCCATTTTCCACTACATATCTGTGTGAGATGAGCTTTTCAAGCATGATTGCTATAAAAACTAAATACAGAGAGAGACTGAGAGCTGTTGACGAAGAGCTACGTGTGTCTTTCTTCGATTCCAGCCAGAATATCAGCTTTGTGTTCAGCCAAACAGGCCCAGGTTGCGCACTGAATAAAGTATTTTATAATTTTTCATATTTCTGTTTACTTACTATTTCATAATAAAGTAATTATAAAATACTTTCTTTGTGTTTATTTGATTCCTATTCAAGATAATTACTTTATATATAGTCAATATAGGCACAGAGTTAAATTTTTTAACATTTTCTAATGGTGGTGTGCCTCGTGATTTTTTTCATGAAACAAGTGTGCCTTTGCCCAAAAAAGGTTGAAAAACACTGGACTAGAAGGCAGAGACCACCAGTCCTGACAACTGCTGCACAGGGGCAAGACCTACTGGGAAGTCGCTGAGTTGTATGTTCATTTCCTTGAATAAAAAGTTGACTGAGCACTGAAAACTGCCTTTGCTTCTTCATGCTGACCTGCATCCCTGACAGCCTGGCCCTTCGTGTTTCCCCTGATCGTGGGAAGGGCAGTTTGACCCTAACTTTACTTAGGAAGGAGAGAGTGTTGGTCAAAGGCGTCCTGGTAGTTGCCCCCCCCAAAGGCTGTAGCTCTGGCAGAGCACATGCTTAGCATTTAGAAGGACCTGGGTTCAATTTCTGGCATCTCCAGGTACGGGTGGGCCCAACTCACAATCCCCTTTGATATGATCACCTGATCAAAATCCTGGCATATTGCAGAGATGGCAAAATGGATGGAACTGTTAAAAGATACAAATTTAGAATATTTTAAGGAAGCCTGGAAACCCTTTCTAGTCTAAGTAAAAGGTTATTATTTCCCCTACGTGAAGATCACAGTGGATCGATCATCAGTGGATGATCACAGACATATCTCAGCCTGACTTAACCTCACAAGGCTGCTGGGGTGAGGTAGAATGTGAACTCCTTGGAGGAAGGGCATGATAAAAGCAAAATGTAAACCTTGGTCTCTAATCGTTAACTGCCATCTTTTCTTCCTCCACAAGGAAGTGGGAATAGAACCAAGAGAACTAAAGAGGCTTGGGTTGGGCAGTGCAGAGAGGGACAAGGAGACGAGGCCATTGTCTCACTGCAGTAGTGATCCCAGGGTGCTCCCATGTATTTCAGTAGTGCTGGTGTCAGGAACTTTTGGGCTGCCAGATGTTGCTGAACTTCAGTCGCCATCATCACTGGGCACTGCACAAACTGGGGCTGATGGGAGCTGTACTTCAGCAACACCAAGCAGGCCAAGGCAGGAGATGTTTAGGATCAGAGTTTTCCTTCTCTTAGATGGGCGACCTTCCCAGGTGGATGAGCCCCATCTGGCAGCTTCTAGGAGCCACATTGCTGTATTGTTGTATTGCTTTTATATGTTTTATATGTTTTGTTATTGTTCTTTCTCTTTTTTATTGTTGTTTTTTCTTTTTTCTGTAATTTTTAAACTTTTAATAAATATCATTTAAAAAAAAAAAAAGGTATCTGGAAGTGGGCATCCCTGCTCACCTAGCATCCTTTGACTTAAGTCCAGTGTCAATTGTAGCCTCTACAAACCCCTACACTAACATTAGACAACAGAACGAAAGAATAATCCCCCCAACCGCAAGATGTCCAAGACAAAAGAGTCTCTCACTAAAGGTAAATGAACTGTGAAAAAACCTTTTATGAATGGAAAGTGGAGGTGTTTATCTGATTGTTTTGTAACACGAAAAATCTTTAATAAAAACTAATTTTTTTAAAAAAGGCATGCAGATCGACACCAGCTGGGATCCCAGCTCGACGAGCTCATTTTGTAATGCTGTATATTAGGCAGGCATTTTGTGGAATGCTTTCAGCGGACTCTGTCCACCCTCTAACAATTCACAACGGTCCCTTCCCTTCCCCACCCCAGTGGCCAGTTTTGCATCCTGAGTCACATCTTTAGGAAACTTCAGTAGCCTTCTAATAACTCGATCCCTGGATCCCCGTAGCAGCCACAAAGGAAAGATTTATGAAGCAATAGGAAACCAACAGTATTATTTTGAGAGCACTTTGCCATCACCCAGCCCTGCAGCAGGACCTCCTCCAAGCCCCAGTCCCTGCCCCCAGCTTCTGGAGAGCAAATTAAGACCCATGGCCAGCTGTCAAAATGATTAGATGGTCCGCAGGCTGGGTGGCCTGCACAGTGCTGCCTCCCCAATCTGCTCAACCGCTTAGCTACCCTCTTTCACCTGTAATACACATTGTGAATGTTTGCTTTACAGCTGGGGGAAATGACCTTCTCACACTCTGACAGGCAGTGTAGTTCAGGAGGATGACATGTGCAACCTGAGATGTCCAGCCGTGATCCACCATTTATCTTGCCGTACAACTTTGTTGGGACTGAAACAAGGATACTAGAGTTACTGGTTCCTCAGATGGACCCATCTTTTGGTATCCATTTATTGGCAAGACCTCTTTTGTTCATCTGTGTCTTTGGAAGATACTCTGATGGGGTTCAGAAGATCCATTACCAGTGTACTGGGTGACACCTGTGAGCACATGGGAAGGTCATTGATTGATGGATGACTGATCTATTGCAGCCATTCTCATTTCCACCCCTCCCAATGACCACTTGAAAACTTCTGGGAGTCTTAGCAGACCATTTAATAAATGTTTCTGTTGTTCCGTAAATCAAAGTTCATATATAACTCATGTTTTCATAATATAATCATATTCTTGCTTTTCTATTGCAATAGATGCACCTTCTTTCTGAGCAAAGTGTCATCAGAAGAAATAATAATAATAAAGGGCAGGAGAGGGCAAACTGCACATATTCCTGACTGATCTGCAATCTTTCTGCAGACCACCTGGTTCAGCTTGTGGACCACCAACGGCCTGCGAATCTTCCCAGGAACTGCTCACCACTGCCCCATGTGGCAAGCCATGTCACTACAGCTCATCATGGAACAGAAGGAGTATAAAATAACTTTGCCTGAGCAACAAGCTCTTCTTGAGCTCTGGCATCATGTCTTGTGTTATCTGGTCTTGCTCTTTAGTCTAGGCTTATTCTACTGCTTCCACTGTCCCCTGTTCCAGATTCCTCTATGGGTTTGATTCCTTAACTGGGGAAGGGCTGTAGCTTAGTGGTAAAGTATCTGATCTGCATGCAGAAGGTGCCAGGTTCAACCCCTGCCATCTCCAGCTTGGGCTGGGAAGGACTTCTGCCTGAAATCCTGGGGAACTGCTATCATCCAGTGTAGACAATATTGAGCCAGATGGGCCAACGGCTTGGTATAGTGCAGCTTCCTGTGTTCTCTGACCTGACTTCCTGCTTGCCCTTAGTTCCTGGCTCCTGAATTTCTCCAGACCTCCATCCAAGGCCCACCTCAGACAGCACCAGAGACTGTGAAGCTCTGATCAGCTGTATTTTTATTCTTATATGTTACTTCACTCTTCTTTTCGATTGGATTTCCATTTTCTGCTCAGTGCTTTGAGGGCCCTTTAGACCCAAAAGCTGGAATACAGGCATCCCCTCACTAATGCAGCACCAGGAAACAAACAAACAAACAAACAAACAAACAAACAAACAAACAAGCTCAAATCTGGAAATGGCAGAAGAGAGCTGGAAAGTTCCTCTTGGCTAGCAAGGAGACCCTTCCTAGAGCCCAAAGCGGATGCCAGTGAGTCTAAAGCCTAGAAATAAAGATTTAAAATGCTTTAAACAAAGATCTTATGGGCTCCAAAATGAAACTTGGGAGCTCCTGCTACTGCCATGCTGCCCCGCTCAACAGGGGTTGGATGGGAAGCTGCGTTGCAGCGGGTTGGCTGCCCTGTTCCATGCTCTTTCTAGCAATCTGGAGACAAAGGTACAGTGTAAAAGAAAAAGGTATTTCTGATGCCTCTTAAATTGCCCTAGTTCCCCGCTTGCACACATTTCGCTTATGCATGTGGGGACCCAGATCGTAGTGAGGAGATCGTAAGTGAGGAGTCATCTGGTTCAGCCTTCCACTGGCATTCCCTTGCAGTTCTCAGAGGCTAAAGGAAAATGGTGTTAAGTGCATGGCGGTGCAGAGTGGCAGAGTGTTTGGCCTATTTATATAAATAGTGATATGCCACTTTCTGGCCCATAGAGGCCCCCTCTTGGCTCATAAACACAAATGAGCAATAATGATTGCAAAATATAATCAGCAAACCACACTACCGATAATACTTCAAGAAGCCATTCAAGTTAGGATTTGCTTTTACCCTAATGTGAGATGCTTATTAAGAACACAGCAACAACTTCCCCCTTCCTGAGGATCAGAGGATGTTGAAGAACTTCCCAAGGTTCACCTGTGAAGCTAGCTGGGGGGAGTCACAGGACTTCTTGCGAGGCTAGACCACCACTCTGGGCTTAGGAACATAGAAGGCTGTCAGACCATCGAGTTCAGGACTGCCTGCCCTGACTGGGGGAGTAACCTCATGGAAGGAGCGTTTTCAGCCCTTGGAAATCTTGCAAGTGGCTGCAGGAGAGGGACACTAAGCAACATCATGGGAGGGGTGTTTCTAGAACTAAGGTGAAACTGTGAAGCTCCCTTGTTATTTTTGCTATTGGGGGCTGCCTTAAGCAATCTTATATTTACAGTTTCAGAACATGGGCTTTGGGGTTTCTTACTATATCTGCTATTGTTTTGCTATGAAATTGTTATTATTTTGCTATGTTATGAAATTGTTGCTACTTTATTATGAAATTACTTTTGTAGCATTTGTCTGAAATCCATCCCTGTTTCTTTGTTGTGAGCCACTTTGAGCACGATTTTCGTGTGTGGAAAAGCGGCATATGAATAAGAGGAAGGACGGAAGGGATGGTGGAGGTGGCTCTCCAGGGTTTCAGACAGGAGTGCTTCCCAACTTACATGGAAAAGCCAGGGGGTGAACCTGGAGCTTTTTGCATGCCTGGTAGATGCTCTTCCACTGAGCTACAGCTTCTTGGAAGGAAGATGTGTGGGATACAAAGGAAATGAATGAACTGTGGGCTTTATAGGACACATGGAAGGTTTGAGGTTACAATGACATGCATGCTTACTTAGGAATAATTCCCACTGAGGCTTCCTTCACAATGAGCATGCATATATTTGCTCATGGCTCTCATAAATCTGAATCCGCTCTGCTGGAATAAGGAAATGGAAAAGCTGACACCACAGCAAACTCCTTAGTTAGTCCATACCGATACAAATTGTGGCAGGTTGGGTTTTGGAACTTGCAAGAAGCTCACCCTAGAGATTTGTTAGAAATGAGTGGGTAGGAAAGTTCCTACAACTTTTCATGGCCTTGTAGCCAGAGCAGTATCAATCAATCAACTTCTTTGTCAAAAGTCCATAACAAAAGGTCATAACAAAATATACACATCTTCTGTACTAATATACTAATTCCTACCAGAGAGGAATGGCAAACCAAAATAATGGACTCTGCTGAAATGGCAAAACTGACTGGAAAACTCATGAACCAAGAGGACAAAAAAATCATAAAAGAATGGGGGAAATTTATAAGTTTCTTAAGAGGCTTTCTGCTGTGCTGCGCTCCTTACTGTGTGGAGAGGGGTTGTCGCTGGTATTGCCTGTTACTGCCACTGCCGCCAGTTTTCTTTTGTTAAACTCCCCCTTCCTTTACTCAACTCATTCCTGCCATCATGGCCAACCCGGTCATGTTTTTTAACATCGCTGCCAGAGAATTTCCGTGCTTTGAGTGCTGGGGAGAAAGGTTTTGGTTACAAGGGGTCCTGCTTCCACAGAATCATTCCTTGGTTCATGTGCCGGGGGGTGAATTTACTTGTCATAATGGAACAGGTGGTAAATCAGGTGGTACAGTGAGAAGTCTGCTGGTGAGAACTTCGTCCTCCAGCACACCAGTGCTGGCATCTTGTCTATGGCAAATACTGGTCCCAATACAAATGGGTCTCAGTTCTTCATCTGCACTGCTTGGTTGGCCAAGTCAAAGAAGGAATGAATATTGTGGGAGCAATGGAGTGCTTTGGGTCAAGGAATGGCAAGACAAGCAAGAAGATCACCATCTCTGACTGGGGGCAGCTGTCATAAAATTCCTTTGTCTTAGCAATCAACCATTCCTTCTGTAGCTGGGGTTAGTCCCCTGTAATCCTTGTGCTCCTGACTTACTGCTGCTTTTCTGTTGGGTTTCAATTTCTGCTCCTACACAAGTCCAGCTGGACGGAAGACAACTTTGTTTGCAAAGTGAAATAAAACAAGTTAAACCACAAAAAAGTCACTTAAGAGACCACTGTAAGCAGATGGAAACATTGGCAGGATTTTGATCTCACTTGTAGTGTAACAATTACCATGGATAATATGGATTGATATAAAAATTAGATTATGGACGAATATGCAGTTCTAAATGTTCAAAATGGGACCCAAATGGAGGAGGTTGGGGGTCCTGAGATTCAGAGGAATCTCTGATATATATTTGGATTTTTATAACTTTGTATTTGTAAAACCAAATAAAAATGATTTCTGGAAAAATAAAAAAAAAGGATTTGGAGTGAGTGCAGAGCCCCATCTCTGGAGAGTGAAGCCCCAGGGGCTTGTCTGGCATGCCAGCACTCTGCTGCCGGAGCTATTAGTCATATTAGTAAATAGAATATCTCAGCCCATGTGCAGAGTGCCACCCCAACATCTGATGGTGAGGGATTAGCAGTCCGAGGTCAGAACGCTCATCCCCAACAACCCAGGTTTTAGGGGAATGAAATGGGTCTTTTTAATCCCAAAGCAGAAACACTTGCCCTGCATTTCTGGGCCTAATTCAAAATGCTGGTTTAAGCCTATGAAGCCTTGGCACACTGGTACCTGGTGGTCACCTCTTCCCAGACGAGTCTGCCTGGGATTTAAGAGAATCCATAGAGGCTGCTGAACACTGGTGTTTAAAACACACAGAGAGATAAAGGACAATATTTTTTCTGCAAGACTGCCTCCTTGTGGCTGAAATCTGCATGACACAATTTTTATAACTCCCTTAAAACACTTCCACCCCAGTCTTGCAGCAGGTGCAAGTTGCTTGGCAGATGTTAAGAGAAATCATAAGAGGTGGCTTAGAAGAGGATTTAATAGATGATTTGGGCAGGCATCCGAAGGTAAATGCTGTGTAAATCTAATGGATGCACTACCAGGCTGTGTTCTAAAGTAATAGTATAGCAAGCACTTTTGAGTGTTCAGAACACTTTGCATGCATAATTGTGTGGAAATACTGTGTTGTGATTGTGGGTGGGGTTGTTGTTGCTGCTGTTTTTATTGCAGCACCAGCAGCATTGCCACTATCATAATAATCTATTAGTCACTTTCCCTCACAAAAACTGACCCAAAGTGACATACAAACATTGCAATAGTACAAACATAATGTTCTGTATATGCTGTAACCTGTCCTATGATGTTCTGGTGAAGAGCAAGTAAGAAAACACAAGTAGTAGTAGTAGCAGCAGCAATAATTATTGTTGTCCTTCTGACAACTATGAAAAGTAGCTCAGTATTAATACCCCCATTGCAGGCGGAGGGAGGAGGACTAGGCTTCCTAGTCCATTCATGGTGAAAGTAAGATTCAAACCCTTGGCTGCTTGTTATACCAGATCTTCACCAAGATGCCCTAAGAATTATTTTGGGGCGCCTGCCATTTTCTGGCATAGGCAGAGAAATGGCTTCAACAGGCTGGCTAAATCGGGTGAGGGCATTTGATGAGTCTCTAGCCCTCAGTGAGTTAGCGACTTCCCCTTCATGCCAAAGCAGGCTCTGGTGTTTAGAGCAGACAAGAACATTAATGGGTCCAACGGTCAAGAAAGCAGTTTCTGCATGTCCTGTAGAGGGAAGTGAGGGGCCGATGGGGCTCATCGACCTGGGAAGGGAGCCCACCTAGGAGAAGGAAAACTTCTGCTGCCCTGTGGGAGATCTTCAGGAGAAGAAAAGGCTACTGAGTCAGACCATTGGTCTGCAATTGCATTGCTGTCTACTTTGTCTGGTAATGACTCTCTAAGCCAGAGGTTGTTCACAACTCTGCTGAGCAGGCAGTGGTTATAGAAAGCACTTGAAATATGCTCAGAGGCATTATCTTCTCATACACCTCAGACCTGAGGTTAAATGCTACAAAGTCTTGACTCAGGTTAAGTCCATATTTGCCCCATTGTCTGTTTCCAATTCTGGAATTTATCTCTGATGAATGAAGAATATTTCTCTCTTGACTATTAACCTAAATGTGTATAATTCTAGTGGACCATGGTTATTATTTGGAGATAGATCCCATTGGGTTGGATCCAGACTAACAGTGTCTCCTCCTAACCATGTCTACTCAGAAGTAAGTCATATTGAATATAGTTAGGTATATCCCCAGGAAAGTGGGGTTAGGAGTGCAGCCTAAGTTAACGGAATTTAGTTTCCATTGAAATTAATAGGACTTTAATCTAGCTTCAACCCATTGATAGCAGAAAGGTAGGGTTGCCACCTTTGTTCTGGAAAATGTGAGGCAGGGCAGTTGAGGGAAGATTCCCCCCCCCCTCCATTTGGCACTGAAGTGATTTCAAAGCAATCCATTGCAATCTATTGCCGCATAACAGGACCTTTCACACATCCTTTCAAACACAGGCATTTGGAGAGGATCCCTAACTTGGCAGAAAGAGAGAGGGAGGGAGAGAAAATGAGGCAGAGGAGGAGGAGGAGGAGGAGGAGGAGGAGGAGATGACCTGAAATACAGGCCGAAACAGTAACTATACAGGTTGTAGCATTTTGCATTGAAATACAGGCAATCCTGTATTATACAGGACAGGTGGCAAACTTAGACTTGACTTCAAGGGAAGCAACATAGCAGAAAGATATTGGCCTTAGGGTCACCATACATCAGGAATTTCCTGGACATATCTGGAATACTGCAGTTGGAAGCAGAAATTGCTAAAATGTCCGGGAAAATCCAGGCGTATGGGAACCCATGCTGGCAAAGCCATTGTGCTCCTTGACTTGCAAGTGGCTTCTCAGCTTGTTGGCCAGCTTGTCGTTGGCCATCACGGATGAGAGGCAAGCAGGAGACAAGGTGATCCGGCCCAAGTGCGCCTCCTCCTGCTCGCTCGCCGCCAGCTCTGCCCCGGGCCCGCTGACTGGGCGTGCCATGGGTGGCCACTGGGCAATGCCTGCGCAGGAGATGCCCAGACAGATGGGCAAGGCAGCAGCAGGAGGAGGGGGTTCTGCTAATGCTTACTCCTGAGTAAGCCTGTAGGGGATCGCAGTGCAAGGAGGGAGGAGGGGGGGAAGCACAGCTAGCACTCCAAGAAAGGCTGGGACCCAGAGGAAGGCCACGCAACAGAGGAGACCACAGAAGAGAAGATATTACTTCTTTATTTTTTTAAATATTTTCCCCTTTTTTAAAAACAACAACAACATTTGTTTGTTTGTTTGTTTAGTCAGTCAGTCAGTCAGTCAGTCAGTCAGTCAGTCTGTCCCAGAATTCATTGAAATAAATCTGGTAACCTTAAATTACATGAATGGTGTTGCATCTAGGGTGACCCTCACTTCCAATAAATATGCTTAGAATGAGTACCTCCAGGCATGGCTGGACTCCAACTCCCATCAGTTCTAGCCAGCATGGCCAGTGATCACGGATGATGGGGACTGTAGTTCAGGAACACATGTAAGGCACCAAGCTGGCTATCCCTGCCTTACTTGGGTTGTGGGTCATGTTGGTGGCTATACAAGAAAGTGCCAGTTTTCCACTGCTTCTTTTAATTTTCCGTCCTGCTATCCAGTTCATAAAGTCTCAAGGAAATGTTTTTACTTACATGTGAATTGGCAGCCATGTCCCTGCTGCTAATCTTCATCAAACAATGCTGCTTAATCCATTTTGCCTAGTCTGTAAATAATCCTTAAACTTGATCTCCGGTTACCCAGCTGATACCAATGGAAGAGTGCATTATATGTGCCATGTGCTGCTGTAATCCCATTGCTTACAGGAACAACTTTGACAAATGCTGAATTTCTGAACTGGAAAAAATGTGAAAAGTAGCACAATCAATGAACATTGTGTTTAAAACCCAAGCATTACTACGGTAGCAATAAGGTTAATATGATCATCAATTTGGATTGTGCCCCATCCCTGCTCCAAAGTCCTTGTCACTGGCAGGGAAATATGTTTCTGTTTCTCCTTCTCTGTCATCTTGGATTCACTGTCGTGTCTCAAAGGCTGTTTTGTGACACAAAACATCCAAATGGCAACAGCAATCTGTAACACTGCACCTGGGGTTTGACGATGGCAAGAGACAGCTGGTGCCAAACTCAAATGCTGGGCTGCCATTGAGACAAGCAGGAAAGAACTGCGGGGAGGAGCTTTATCCACCTCCAATGGCTTGGGAGATAAATGGGCAAGCTCTGAGCTTCTTATAAAAGGTGAGTTTTCGAGATGCTCTTGCTGGATTTGGGGAAAGAGATGTCAGTGCCAATTGCCGTTGGAGGAAAAGGCTTTGGGAAATGCTCAAAGGATGCAGCCCTTACATGGAATTATAATTTGATGTTTAATTCTTTGCAGTGCATTCCTGTGCATGATTACTTGGCAGCAGGGATGGGAGAGAATTTTGGTTCAGTTTTAATGAATTTTTTTTAATTCCCCCAAATAAAAGGCAAACCAAAAATACAATTATCTTTCAAAATCTTCTCCAATTTTGCAATGCAGTTCTCCAAACACATGTACAAAAATGCACGTTTTATTCATTGATTTAGTAAATTTGTACACTGCCCACTCATTCTTTTGCTCTAAGCAGTAAACAATAACATCAAATAATAACAATATAAAAATTCAAACAATATAGCAAAATTAGAGCTTAACCCGACTACTCAAAAGGTGAAAAGTTGCAGCTTTGGGGACTTTTTAGTTCTTCCCTTGATCATTTTGGTTGCCCTTTTCTGAAACTATCCCAACTCTACAATATCCTTCTTGAGGTGAGGCAACCAGAACTGTACACAGGATTACAAATGCAATTGCACCATAGAATTGTATAATTCTTGTTGCCATCTGTTTGTCTAGGGAGACAATGGAGGAGTG